AAGTATCTATGGATTTATACACGGCACTTAAGAAGCATCAGTAAACATACTCCAGATGGCAAAGGGAATGGGTACAGTTGACTTTCAACACAAGAAATGGGATTTAAAACCTCTTTTCCCTGTCACGGCCTATTTCTTTAACAGTTTGGGGTTAAAACTTACTCCTTGGCTGTTCAGCTAAGGACAATATTTGCCCTAACCTCCTCTCCGCCAGGAACCCAAACGCACCCCTGAAGATTTGGAGGCACAGCGAATGTAGCCATCAGCTGGATTTCAGAGACTACAAAACAAGTGTCAACCTCAGGCTTATACTGTCTCCCCCTGTTTGCAGTTTCTGTTTCAACCTATGGGTTTTTGTTTGCTTGCTTGTTTTTAAAAGATTTTTTCCCCTGCTTCTTTCTCCTACTTCCACACAATTGTTTTTTTTTTTTTTTTTTTTTCAGGGAAGAGACAGATGAAAGAATTATTTCTTGTCAGTAAGACATGTACCTGGGTGACAGGCGATTCCTTATTTGGTTAAAACACAGGTTAATGGTGTTAGCTTGCATTCTGCTTTATCAGTCGCTTCTTTTCTGAAGCCGTTTCAAAGAGCACAATGGAATTCAGAGCTTCAGTGTTTGTTGCTACAGCAGTGAGGATGGATTTGGATGAGTTTCACAGTTTCACAAACATGATCACAGCTGCTGCTGGCTTAAAGATACATAATCCAATGTTTAAAGATGTGAAGTTTCCAGTTTCCAATAAACAGATCTCTTAAAAGCGGTAGATTGTACTTAGGAACATTCACCGTAAACATCATGTAAGCATGTTTCATGTTGCAGGTCTCTGACACAAAAGCAGAGGGATTATCATCATCACTTGGTACGTAAACCTCGGCTCTTACGAGTTAAAAGTGTACTTTTAAGTGAAAAAATAAGATAGAAAGCCCAACAGTGTTGATTTATGCAACATGTATAGTACAGACACTTCGGAAGCCGTGAGAAGGCTCCAGGGCTCCCTTTGCTCCCCTGACGGACAGTAAGAATCGTCATTTTGAGGTCTCGGGGCTCACAGTTACCAAGGATGCTATTTGCTCGTGTTTCAATGGTAGTAAAAGTGTGCAGAGCCTGCATAAGAAAGGTCTTTCAGGGCTTTTATAACCAACTTTGCCTCCACCTAGAGAAAAGCAACCCTACAGGGATGCATCTATTCCAATTTTTATTTCTAGCCAAAATAATAGCACGTCAGTCTTCAGGCAAAACATGCAAGCCATCTTTGTAACCAGAGCCGCCGTTCTGGCACACTGGAGCTACCGGCGCTTGAGCTAAGGCAGCCAGAATCCCTTCCCCGAAGGGAAAGCGCCGCAGCTGCACCACCGCTGCCAGGCACCAGCCACTTGGTTCTACTTGATGCACTTGAGTATTACGATGAAGTTTTATAAAAAGGCTGTTAGCTGACATGTTCGAATCTTAATAGGGGAATAGGGCACTAAAGTTAGAGGGATTTCTTGCTCTGCTTTTCTAAACGCAAGTTTATCGGTCTATAGTGCAACCAGAAGCGAGCAGTGCTCAAGAGCAGTGCCAAAGTATCGACTCTAGCAAGACAGTGTGGAGGGAACCCCCACTCCAGCCCTTGTTTAAAACAAACAAAAACCCCAACGCTCTTTTACACTAATTTGATCAACTTCTGCATTTTGGTTCTTACAGCGTGCGTGTGTGCGAATGGTTGAGGCACGGCAACGAATCCTTTCAAGCTGCAGCAGGAGACTGCAGGGAACTGCGGAGGGCCAGGTAGACGGGGTTTTGCAGAGTGCTCTGGGTCCCAATACCCTCTTCTCCCTGCCTCACTTCTCTGAGTTTTCAGGCAGCTACAGCCAGCAAAACTGCCCTCTTTGCCTCACCATGCGACCATCCGGGTTAGGGTGGAAGTCCCCAGTTTAAGCGACGCACGCCACGCAGCTCACCTCCGAACAACGGGAAGGACACCAAGAAGCCTGCGGTGTTAAAAAGGAATGTTTTATTGCAAGAGATTACAGATCTGGCACTACAGCCAAAATGTTTCCATTACATCAAAATTGCTACCCATGTTTCAGGCAACAGCACCTACAAAGTATGGTGGATTGAAATATCTGAAATCATAATGCAGCCAGCTTTTTTAAATAAGTACCGCCCTAAAAAGATTTTTTTAAAAACAAAGTCAAAACTATATAAACCGATTTTTTTTTTAATATGAAACTGATGTTTTAAGTATCCAGGCCATTAACTACTGTGATAAAAAGTGGGAAAGTCTGTTAACCATAGCGCTTAACTAAACAGGCTTCTGTCACAGCCCTTATCATTCGGTTAAAAGCAAGTACCTTGTATTCGCTGTTAATTTTTTCACATTTGTTCAGTAAACATTTATCTTCTGTAGATTTTCAGAATCAGACAGATTTAATGAATAGCCCCTCTTTAAAGCACTATTGACATGCAGGATAATCCAGAACCACAACTGGCCCGGAAAAAGCATCGGTGTCAAAATCGCTTTGCAGGAAGAGATCTCCCCATCTCAGTCCCGTGACGCTGACCTTTCGAAACTTTGGATGGACGCACTTCTCGGAGCCCCAATTCACGGCCCGCATTCCCCCTGTGGTCCACTTACCTCAAAGACCTTGGTGATTTCCCTGAGCGCGGCTGAAAAGGTAGGACTTTGAACAGGCACATAGCTCAAACACGAAAAGTCCGGCCAGGACATAAACCCCAACTGTTACAATCCCCATTTTGGCACGCGAGGTGCTTGTTCTCCCTCCCCAGTGGCTCGTGTTAGCTGTTGCCTGGTCTGTGCTTTCTCCCCCACGGAGAAGAGCCAGCAGCTCATTTCCTGACACCTGCGGAAGCAGAAGCTGGATCTGCGGGAAGAGCCGGACCGCCTCAGCTTGTGGGAGAGCAGCCCCCCTAAGACAATTCACACAGCCCATATGAAACAGGACGCGGCAAACAGGAGCCAACGCCCAGGGATCTTTGTGAGCCAACATTTGTTATCCACTTGCCTCCATCTCCCATTTTCCACGCGTACAGCCCAAACACACTACCACTTGGCAGTGGCTACTGCAGGCACCTTAAATTTGCCTTTCCAGCAAAAACTTCTTTTCAAGCAATGCAAACAAGAGTTTTAATTTTTTTAAGATGATTTGGAAATATTACTGGGACTAGGGGATATAGGCAATCATCTTACAAAACGTGGGGGGTGGTCTTCTACAATTTCCCAGGCTTCTCTAAGCATTCTGAAAATGCCTTCGTAATTTTCCAGAGGCTACAACTTAAGAGAGCTTTACCAGAAACTAGGGTCGCTCCAGGAACACATAAGATTGTGATAAGGAACCAAAATCAACGACATGAAAATGACTACGTCACCGCAGCCTTTAGCCCGACGCAATCTAGCCAACGTGAACAGACTAACGCTCGTGTTTGTATGTGCAATTCTGGAAGTCCAGCTCTTTAGCACAGACTGCCATAGAGCCTCCCAAGCCACACATCGCAAAACATGATTCATGTAATAAAGTGGCTGATTTAATTAACTCTCTTCTACCAGATTATTTAGTATCTCTGTAACTCTGGAAAGGGGGGTTTATATTTCCTTGTAAATAGTGACAGGAGATCTGTATTTCCAAACAACAGAAACAAAAAAAACCAAACAGCCCCACGTGAGGACTAGAGGCTAAAGAAAGCTTAAGGGTACTCTATTATTATACATATAAAAAAAAAATCATTTGTCCATATCAACCATATATGCAATTACTTTAATAATCAAAAAAGTTCTAGAATTTCTGTATATATTTCAAACTATATTGTCAAAGGTCCGATGCAAGCAGGGCGCACAGCTCCAGCGCACCCCCAGTCAGAAAGCCTGCCGCTGACAACTGCTGCTCCTGATCAAAAGAATCTCATTTTGGAAACTACTCAGGCCTACAGCTCCCTGCTCTTCAGACACAACCTTGCATTTTAGTGTTACACAAAGCAGCTCACTATTGGGGTTTAACGAGTTAAATAGAACGAACCAGGTTTTTTTATCATTATGAACCTAATAGAGTTTTTTGCTACTGCTAAATTCCGCACGGTATGGCTTCACCTTACAAGCATTCTTAACAACACTAGATAAATGTCATTTGCACTTAATTGATTTTTCCATCTGTTAAACAGCCACAAAATATGGTGCTCTCACAGGCACCTTTTTTTGGTGAGAAGGGTAAACAAGCACTCTATTAAAGCATTATAAACATTCAAGGTGATTTGATCACTTCCCTCTATTCTGTTTCAACACATTGCTGTGAATCTTCCATTTTCACAGCGTATAAAAAACTCCCGCAATCATCTACAAATTTAGAAATGTTAGTCTGCATACACATAATTTGTCTGCAATACACTTCAACATCCCAGTTATCTTCCCTAAAATCTCTGAAGTATTTTTTCTCCAGCCTTTAAACGTACCGATATAGACTTTCCAGTTAAGAAAAAAAAAGGGGGAATAAATTTTGACAATAAAGCTGAAGTTATCTGTAGCAACTTGTACAGTAAACCACCCGACAGCACCAAATTAACGATAGCCTCGACAGAGCTGGGATGGCCTTGTCTCAGGACTGTCCTGCCCAGCTGCGCATTTTTAGCCCATCTATTTTATCAGAACATAACAAGCCTTGTGTGTTAACTCTGAGCTGCGCGCATACAGGAAGACAGACATTTATTCATGTTTTCCACCAATCAAATGTAATGCGTCTGTGAACAAGTCAGTTTATTGCAAGTAAATGTACTTTTACTTAAGATCATGAGAAGATTCTAATCCCAAGCAAGACAAATCAATTTCACAAACTTAATTCACACAATGCAAATAAATGCTTCACATTATAGACATTTAGATTTTCTTTAAACCTTTTTATTTAGAGATTTTTCTGGTAAGGAGATATACCATAGGAAAGCAATTTCACTGGCAGTGAGGTATGTATATACTCTACCAAAATACTCCTCTTGTTTTAACTGCTTTTAACTTTATTTACATATAAAGAAAATATCAATGCATATCCTTGGCTTAACTACAGTATCTGTTACCCTATATGAGTAAAATGAAATGTTACTTGCATACAAAATTGATTTGTAGAGGAATCTGATTCGATTTAAACAAAAATCATGTTCTGAAGACAGTTTAAATGAACAAACACAATTCAGCATGACCAAGACACCTGCACCATATTTCCATCCTCACAGCACATTTATTTCAGTAATTCTGTAAGTAGGTCCTTAGCATGAGCATAGTGTTACAGTTTTCATACATATAATCACATCCAAAACAAGCTCTAAAATTTAAGTTGTAAACATTCTCTTCATATGTAGAAACATTTCAATCTGTGTTCGAATTTTCTAAAATGATCAATCTTTTAAACAGAATTATAAATGAAAAGTCTACTCTAACCGTGTAGTGAGCAATGCTTATTAGTACATTTCTACAGTGTTAAATAAAATAGTAGAGAGGCAAACTTCTGTAAGCAAGTCAGACTTTAAGTAAATCATCATAAAGAAACAAACTTGTTAACAAAAAGATGCTTTGTAATAAAGAAAGTTGGATTGAATCTACTATGATACAAAAACATAAGGGTAAATACCATCTTTGTTGACAAGTAGGAGGTAGCATGGATGCACCGCTTTATTGTCAGTGAGAAATGCAACTGAAGTAAAGAATATTTCCTTACCACAAATTTCCAGTATTATGTACATATTTCTCTTAGAAATTTGTTTAAACAAGTTTCCCTCCACTTTTTAGTACAAAAAGCCTCATGTGATTTAAAAAAAACACTTACACACCTAGATAGAATAGTACTAATTGCCCTATTTGAATGAAACAGTCTCTTGAACTATGAAGTACATGATATTTAATGCCCTAAGTTGAGTAAATTGTATTAGCAGTTCTTGGTATTATACAAAACACTACATACATACAAACAAAATATAATAATATCTTATTTTACTATGTAATTCTTTTTGGAATAAACAGAGCCTTGATTTGGGTAACACTGAAGAGAACATGGTTTCTTTGTTTTATTAAAATCTGTCTTTTAAGTACCCATGTGCAACAATTTTAAAATGGCTGCCATACATGTAATGGTCTTGTATTGATAGTGAACACAGTAACTGACAAAAACGTAATAAACCTTAAAAACACATCTTCCACCCTATATAAAATATAAAGACTACTTACTGTAACTGTTAAGTATTCAATTTATTTTGATGTTACTGTAATCCACTTCCTCTATTTTTCTGTCTTTAGCATTTATAAACATAATTTAGTGTAGCAATTTATTTTAAAAAATGACAAAGTATTTCAAATTTACATCCAATTAAAATTTAAACTGTTTCCTTGTTCTATGATGCTGCTTCTGCCATCAGTAAAGAAAATGAAGTTTCAGTAATTGAAGCAGGCTTTTTAAGTAGTGATGTGACTTCAACCATGCCAGCTCCAGTCCGTGGAAGATTTGCGTTGACAATGTGTCGCTGCAAGTGCTTTATCCAGTCTTCTTGAACAGACAAAGGTCCTCGAAAGACCAGACCACAAAACCTATGCAAATATTAAAATTATTCCATCAAGATATATCTAGCTCTACTGAAAAACTATAAAATAAAGACATTAAGTGGAAAGTCTTAATTTTCTTGACGTTCATTTCTACATATTTTAGCTGAAAACCTTAGTAATTGAGTTAACTTACAGTAACTGTGAGCCCCAAACCCCTGCAGTTTATACAACTTGCACTCTTACATTTTTAACACTAGCAATAATAATCTGTTGTTCTTACATAAGGTTTCTTTTGAAGGACAGAATATTACTCAGACATGACTAGTAAGATTTTAGCTAGAGAAACAGTTGGCAACCTAATACCTGAGTATGACTGATTCAAGTCCTCTCATTCAAATTAATGAAAATAGGCAACTGCTTCCCCTCCTTATTATTCAATTTAATCACAAACACATTTACAGGATACAATCTTAAATCTTCTTATGACTAAAATTAGCAAGCTCTTAACAATGTGTTCTTTCAATTAAAATAACCCTATGTACCTGCATCTGAGTATGTAAACTTCATCAGCACTATGAGGTAATGGCAGCATTTTTTTCTTGCTTCCAGATCTTGACCTTGACTTCTTTTGCTTACAGTCTAAAGCTAAGAAGAGAGAAATTTCCATATGTGAAAGTGATACTTCAATAAGTGTTAACCAAACAGAGATATTTAGTAAGCATCCCCTATAGCAGTAGTGAAAAGACATCTACCTCCTTCTTATTCTACATTTAATTATAATGTAAGTCCAAAACAATTACAGTGTGCTCTAAGAAATTTACTGGCAAAACACATTAAGCTATTTTTTTTAGTTTAGCACAGCGCTTGCTCTTTAAAAGACTCGATAATTGACATTCAGCATTAAACTGTTGTTTTAGTATCAGCAAGCATCTACTGACCTATTGCAGAATTATACAGAAGCAAAGCACCATTGGAAATTCCCTTTCATGCATAAAACACTGTCAAAATCTTGGAACTTGTTTTGTAGTTCAAGTACCATCATAAGTCCACTCATGTTCAACCAAGTTACAACTTCACAAAGTTGTAGGTAGCTTTCAGCTAATACAATCAAGAATTTCTAGCTTGAATAAAACACCTGCCATTTGTTTTCAACATAATGCAAAAGTTTGTCCTTTTATTCTAAGAATTTCAAATGAAGCTTCCCCCTCACTCCTGTCTGAATTCTAATGCATCTTACAAAAATATGTATTAATGCTTGGCAGTGGGAGCTGGTATTAGGACAATCAACAGGGATGGCAAGGCCACTTCTAAAATTCAGTCTAAGCATTTGAAACTATGTATGAAAATAATGTGTGTGAACAGAAAACGCATAGCAAATGGGTTCAGTTAGCATTGAGGTCTGTACCTCCCATAAACAGATGTAACAGGAATCTCTAACAAAACCTGGAGATTCTAAGAAGCAGCCAAAGCTGGGGGATGAGGGGATTAAACTGAGTTAATATTGTTATGATGAAAACAGCTGATAAAGCTCAAGAAAATACCCAAGAAGTTTGGGACTGCTTGAACTGAGAAGTATATCTAGCTACACTCTACTCCAAAACACAAGACACTGACACTAAAACTCCACAGAAACCTTAAAGACAGTAACAAGTGGTATTCTTGATACCAAAAACGCATAATGCTATGCTACTGAAGCATCTTAACAGTAAAATTAAAAAAATTGTTACACTTGTCTAAGTTTTGACTCCTGCAATATAAAACAGAAGAATAAACCTCTTAGTATTCTGAAGCGTAAGACATCATCCGGTGAGGCAAAACATGTTGATTTAAAGAACACACAGTCTTGATTGCATCCTTCATTTTTCTTATGTCCTCCAAATGAGCACCTCTCAAGCTTTTACCCTGTAGCCAAACTTGTAATTTGTAGATACACCAGACATTTCCCAGTTCCAACCCCAGATTTAAAGATTCCTACAGTATCTAGAAAAATTAGAAGGAATTTTTGAGGTTTGAATGTACCAGAGAATGAATCAAACAAGTAGAAAGCAGATACCAACCTAAAGAGACTTCCTTCAAACCCTGGGTCAAGCCATCATTAGGAAGATGAGGCTCAACAGCACTTTTTGATGGCAACAATGAAAGCCTGGATACAAAGGCAGTAACCCAAGGTGGCGGGGGAGAGAGAGAGAAACGGCCAAGATAACTTCCGGAAAAGGTAAGGGGTTCTTAATGCTTTATGCTCTCATCAAAAGCATATTCTTCATATAATTAGGAGGAAAAAAAGGTAACTATCTTTCAAGCTGCAGGAACTACCAGCTAGTATAAATATTTTACATGCCACAACATCAGTAACAACATCACCAGAAATGTAAGCAGATAAAATACTGAAACCCAAACACCCATTCTCTGAAAAGAACTATTTGCACGAGGGGTGACTTATCTGAAGCAGTTATTACAGCAAAAGCTTTGCCATTGCCGATTTTGCAGAATATCATGGGAAGGAGGGAAACAGAAGTCAGTATTGTCCAAATGCAAACACATCCATGAGTTGCATCTGATGTCAGTTAGTTGATATGAGTTAAAAAAAAAAAAAAAAAGGCAGTAGACAACAGCCTCCTTCTAGAGAAGCCTACATGCATCAGAAACAATAACTAGCTTATTTCCCTCATTTTGGCAAAATTAAGACATTCATTCCCATCCATAAATTTGATTCTACTCACATACATCCCAAGCATTCCAGAGAGCTTTCACTTTCTTACTAGACCTGAATTGGTCTTCTGCAACAGAGTTCGTGAAACCTAATGGGGGGTGTGGGGGGTGTGTGTGTGGGGGTAATCTTAAAACAACCCAAAAAAACCAAACCCCCTCCGAACTACTGTGCAATCAAATAGACAGCCACACAAACAGAAACTGCCATAATGTACCAGGAGAGAGAGTTTCTACTTCCTTGAAAGGTACCTTTTTCAAGAACAATGAGAAAACAAGGAAAACAAAAGACCGGGCATCTTCTCTGAGCCATTTACAATGGAGGCTCTAGATAGAGAAATTACAAAGAACAGAAAATATCACACTAAAAGACAAAGAAAAACAATCCAAATCACTCAATGCATTCTCAGAGTAACTTAGCTAAGACTGGAAGTAGATCTGCCCAAGCAAGAAGCCGTTACAAAAGATAGAAAATACTAAGAATACTAAACCTGTGTTCTGCAAGGGGTATTTTTTGTTCCCTTTGTCTTTTGACCTAGTGAACATATTTCTTCACATTTTAGGGGGCACAAAGCAGCACAAGTACATTCTGAAGTTACTCCAATGAAGCAGGAAAGTAAGTGGAGAAAGAGTAACATCTGGGTAAAGCAGATTGAAAACCGTAATTCCAGCACCAGTTATCAGAGACATGTACCAGTAACTGCCACATTAATTGAATTTTTGGCTATCCAGAGAGTAACAAGTTTAAATGGAAGTCACATGCACACACTTAAGTACTCTGTTGATCTGACGCGTACAAGCGCTTGCAAGCATCAAGTAAGTCACACCATTGCCTCACCCATAAGAAAGCATAGCTATGTTCTGACCAAAACTCAGTTACTGTTTTTTCCAATGCTTTTACTGTAACAAAGCATGACCTCCTCAGAAAGTACATTTTTAGCACTTTCAGGAAGAGACCAAGGATAATTTAGCTCTAGTAAGCTGCATGGAAATTGCAGCAAATTGCCAGAGAGAGGCAGGAACTACCTACTCATTAATGCCCACTTTGTGGCTACCACAGCTCCCAAACTACCAAACTATCATTTGTCATTCTCCATAAAGGCCCAATTCTTTTTGGAAGAAGCCTCCTTCCTTCAAGTTTGGCCACCTGGTGTTTCCTAGTTGCTATTCCAAAAACTTTTTGTGAACAACCAGTTACACCACTTCATCAAACCTCTGATACAGCACGACAGAGAAACAACCCATTTAAAACAAAAGACAATCAAACTTTGGAGGAATCTCCTTGATTGAACTCAAGTTCAATTTCAGAGCACACTATTTAGAAAAAATATATGCTAGGTAAAAAGGGTGCATATAAAAACCTTCTTTACCTCTGTGACCGCTTATCAAGAGCACAAGCAGATGGAGATAGGAGGCTAAAATGAGCTTGCCTAAGACAACATGAATTAGAAAAGCCACAATTAAAGGTCCTTCATGCCATGACATTTGGTCTGAGGTTCAAAATTAAAGTGCATCTATGCTAATTTGCACGCTCCGCTTCTCAACATCCCCCAACATGGAACACTTCTCATTTCAGGAAGACTGAAGCTGGGTCTTTATTCAGACTTCATTACTTTTGTCATAGCGTATATAAGCTAACACAAGTTGAATAATTGCACGCATAAATGGATCTAATTAACCATTTAAAAACACTGCCAATTAAAAAGTAAAAAAAATAAATTATCTTTCTTGTATATTTATTCACTAACTTTTCAAATTCAATCACTTGCTATCTATCCTCATCATTACTGCAGAGTAAAATGCATTAAAAAAAACCCTCCAGTAATTTGCTCCCTGAAGGATTTTATAGGATACTAAAAATTAGCTCATCATGCCAGTTGATGAGTTATGGAAAGCCAGTGGATCTCAGATGTCTGCTATAGTTGCATATGCTTCCACAGTAAACCTCCCGAAGCTACAATTTTGACAAAGCAGTATTAGAAATTATTTGGAAGCATAGTGGCCGCATGAACTGCTACCTCAGTCATATTGTTGGCTCAAAGGCCAGACTCCTTGCTCTGTATTTTATTGTTCTCTCCCAAACTTCTGAAAAAGCAGTCTCCACCTACAGAAGCAAAGACCAAAGAAGAGAGTGGTGATTCCCAGAAGATGACAGCCGGTAAGAAGAGACTGAGTATATGAAAAGAGTCAACAAAGAGAAGATGTAAAAAGCCAGGGTGCAAGAGAGTATCAAGAGACTTTAGCAGGGGAAGAGAGGCCTAGAGAGAAGAAAAGGAAGGAAGCTGGATATACACATGTACCAAGAAGAGCAAGATGCATTTTGAAGATTTTGCGTAGGTCTGTCCAATGCTCTAAAGATAATCAGAAGAACAAAGCAAGTTTGCCACATGCTCTGAGAAACACTAATGTGTTGCTACTCATCAAAATGGGTATAAAAGGAAATTAGCATCTACTCAAGATGAGCAATTAAATCATTACACTGGACTGCATAACAACAACAACAAAAAATTAACGTTCCAGTCAGACATCTGAAGACCATCATGCAAGCACTAATACAAAAGCAAGTAACTATCCAAATGAACCTAGACAGGCATTTGCTATACAGCGGATCCATACTGTATAACTACAGACACAAATTAAGTTTAATAAACACTAACCTCGAACAGCCAACAGCCTAGAACGTTTCACTTCTAGGATGTTCTTCTTGAGTCCATTCTCAAAATTTACCATTATGCTTAACTATGTCTATTACACTGCTAAAACTGCCAAATTGCATTTTAAAAAAAAATAGGGTAAGATTTAACTAAATGTGATCAAACTACTGACTCTGAAGAAGCTGGGCATCTGCTGGAAAAGCATTATGATAATAGTGAATATCAAAAAACATGTGCAGACAAACCAAAAAACTGAGCAGAAGACTAGTGTGTAAGCTAATGTAGCACTAGGAAAGGTCTCACTTTGGCGACACGCAGAAATTACTGTATTTCTCTTACTAAACAGTAGCGCCTAGGTAGCTCCCATAACAATTGCCAAATAAAAGAATTACAGCATTCATGTTTACACACAATTATTTAATTACAGCAAAAAACCGAGACAAATATTCGACCAATGTGATTTCTTTTTGGTAGCTATGTTTACTTTAGAAGATACAAGAAAGGCTTTGTGAGAACAGAAGAAGGAACCCATATAAACGTATCCTCATTGTCTCCATACAGGTTCCAGGCTGAAGCCAAACTGAAGACATCTCAAAATTACTCTCAAGTGCAGCCATTTTTTAATAAGAAAAACCGATTTCTCCCCAAGAGCAACACTCATAGCAAAGTTTAAAACTAGTGTGCACTAGTGAAAGCTTGCATTAAAATCATTCTCTTCACAAAACTTACAATATAAAGTGGAGTATCAAATAAAACCACTGTTTAAAAGCATATTTTTCTGGTCTACAAGCCTTGCATTGAGCTTGCACAAATGAAAAGTCAATAAGCAAAGTTTACAAACTTCTCAGAGTTACAACAGTTTTAGCGGCAATGACTAAATTAATACAAATATACATTGGTTGCATAGTGTTATAGCTAGCACTTAAGTCTCTCTAAGTCACTGGTTTCAGTGAAAGGCCTTTATCCACATGGTACAGGCTATTTATCTGGCTCAGCTCCAGCTTCTGAGATCAAAAGATTTTTTTTGTAAAGTTTTGTTTCTAACCTTTTTTTTAAGCTTTGTTCCTAACCTCATTTTGTTTCTAACCTAATTTTAAACAAACTTCTAGGTCCAATGATACAAGACAGAGTTTTCTTCCAGTTCCTTTAAAGGAAGTGGCAACTGTACTGATGACTATGCTACTGCTTTGCTAGCAAAATACTTTTCGTAAAGAAAACAAACAAAAATCCCTGAAAGCACCTTAACAAGCTACCTTCACTTTTCCCATTTAGCAAAAGGGAAGCTGAGGTACAAAGAGCTTGTCCAGGATCCAACCTGTGTACTATCCTGTTTGCCACAGTGCCTCCTCCACTGAATTTTTGTTAAGATTTCAATGTGCAATTTAAATATATAGCTATTGAAGTATATTTCACCAGTAGGTATATAAGCAAAGTAACTTACCACAGGGCTAATATCAAACCACAGCAGTGGTAAATGAAGTCCACTATCACCATCTGTCTACCGAGTAAATATGAAAACTTTCAGAATCACTACCTAAAGACATACACTCCTACACAATGGATATTACTGCATCTGCTGACTTCCTTCTAAATCTACTTCGTTATAGCATTAACTTAGTATAACACAAGACCTGGCAGCCACGGGCCCAGTTTGTAAAAATATTTCTTTTAGCCTTCTGCAGAGAAAGCCTGAAACTCAGTTTATTTGTCATTCTTAGCATAATGAATTACATCTGCAGATAAAAAAGGATTATGCATTTTTCCAAAGCATTATGTAGAAGTCTGTGCTTGTTGACACAGAAAACTGATGGTTGCCCTTCTTAATTACTGAATATGCCAGACTTCATATCTCCAAATTTTCCTCACTGTATTCCATCTCTGCTCCCCAATTTGCTGTTGATCATACGAAGTCCCACTAATCTCAGCAATAATCCAAGTAAACTCAGAAATTGCCTACAGCCAAGCAAACTGCAGGTCTCTGGAAATGAGTCAAAATATGGAATATTAGAGGAATTTCAAAATGAAGTGTGTTTTAATAAAAAACATTAATAGCAGTGCCAAATGCTGTACTATACTCACTCCATGTCAGACCAAGTAGTTTTTGGGTTGTGAGCCAAACAAGAAATGAAACCAACTACATACAATATGTTGTTAGAAATACACAAACTGTAAAATTACTTGCTTTTCCTATTTTAACTACAGTATTCTTAGTAATTATATGTACTAGATTGTAAAAATTACTTTTTGTTTGTTGTGGGGTTTTTTTCCCCCTCTCATTTTTGAGGTACTTTTAAACATTTCATTAGAAGGCCAATTAGCTGGTTTGGAAGTTGTGATATTGTAGAATGAATTTAAGCGACCACCTTTTAGTTTTGCTTACATACCTTAAGTGTTGGATCCAAAATAAATGAGTAAGAATGAAAATCAGACATGAGAGTGGACAACAGCAACATACCTTTTCTTACAAGTTGCTGAAGTTTTATGGCAAGTAAATTGTTTACCAGCAGAAGCTTCAAAATTATTTTGAATTAACATATGCTTTTGTCCAGTCTGATGAAGAAAATGTATCATAGACAGACTTGCTTTTACATCTGTAACAAAACATACCTGTCCCAGTCAAAAGTCCAGCACTCTTCTTTCGTGCATAAGCGCGTAAGTGGTTGGACAGGCTAACAGCACTTGTAAACGTCGTATTGCAATGCACACACGTTCTAAGCTTCACAGGCATACCTATCATTCAAAAGAAAACTATAATCCAGTTCTCTCTTCAAAAAATGAAATTCTCAAAGCGTTGTAAAAAGTTTTCTGCAATAAAGATGGTTTAAAATATATTCACTGCATTGACGCAATTGTTTAGTATATTAGAAGGATCCAAGTTAACCGTTATTAGTTTTCCATGTAGTGCTTTAAGCCAAACCATGTTATTTGAAAAAGAACAGAAAGGAGGCAACTTGAGCCCATTAGGCTACTCTGCATTTAATACCTACTATCAAGTTCCTACAGATCTCCACATTATGAAGCTCTAATCCCAAAATGCAATCCTGCAATTTGAATAGCACAATTCTGTTGAGAAATTTCAGAGCTTGCAACATTTCCAATAAAGAGAATTTAAAAAGTCTAGTTGACAAAGTGGTAATAAAAGTGTTTTACCCGTAAGACTGAAGAGCTCAATACTAAATTAGGCTGCCGTTGAAGGCTCAGAGAAAAAGGTGGTAAAACACACGACTGAACAGCTGTTAGACAAAACATTTTGTTCAGTGCATTTTCTATTCATTACTTTAGATGCGCAATCGATAATGAAAGTTAATGATTTGAAGTTTTTTGCTAAAATCTTTGTGCTAAATAAATCATCAACAAAGCAACATGCTATTTATCACAGGAAAACAGTGAAACAATACTGAACTCCTCACTTACCAGACAAAGAAACCATTATAACTTATCCCCTGCTCAACTTCACTGTAATGTTTCTCCCTTCATTTTACCACAGAGGTATTGTTTTGGTCAACTAATATTTCAAGTTCTCTACTAAAAAGTGATTAGAAGAATAAATAAAAAAGCTAGAACTACTCAGCTGGAAAGCCTCTGTTTGCAGGAAAGAAAGAATCCTATTCTCCAGCAGCCCACAGAAGACATGCTGCTTTTTCAGGCAAGTTATAGAAGAAGAACACCTGGTTGGTAAAAACCTTTTTAAAAACTGAAACCAGAATTGGAAATATTTGCCTTTTTAGGAAAAACAGAAGAATTTCAACTCGATGTTAAATAGTTTCTTATTAACTCAACTGGCACAGTGCGTTAGTTGTCAAATTCTGTTACCTCAGCCACAGATAATTATAGGGCCCTATTCGTAACTGTTAGTACTCTGCAAGCATATGTTTATTTTTACCTGGTTGTTCATCACAACCAAACAGATGCTACCTAGTATTCAGCAGTAAGTATTAAACGGAAAGCAATACACAGTGACAGGTTTGGCAAGCTATTCCTTTAGCATTGTTTTCAAAGCATTAAGCCTGTCAAAGATACACTTCCTTTATTAAGCAATCTCCTGTCTTAAAGGACAACCACAGACGTCCAGAAGACATTAAATGTAATTCTGTTCCACCTCTACTATGTCATTTTAGAAAGCCACCTTTGTTAAGAAACTGATTGCCACACTTCTGTAGTCCCCTAAAAGAACATCTGAGCACATCAGATTGTTGTTGTTTTTATTTGTTTAAAGACAGACAAGAATATAGGTGAAAAAGTACTAGGCACTGCCAGTTTTACTAACCTGCACTGGCTAATAACAAGAAAACCAACAGAACCAAAAAAAGTCAGGGGTATAAAAATAAGATCCTGTTCCTCAATCTAAAGAATCCTGTAGCATTATAAGGTGGTGTCCAAACAAGAAACGAGTAAATGCAAGCTCTACATACACATTAAAAAGGATGTTGTAAGAATTCCCCAAGACTAGAAATAACTCTTATGTGACAAGTAGGTTAAAAACATCACTCTAAAAACCTGCTCTATTAGTATACAGAGTATCTAGGAAGTTGATTATAGAATTGTTTCATTAGCACAATTCTCAGTGGAGGGGCCGTATCGGTCAGGGGCTGTGCATTAGAAACCTGCTGGCTACAACTGCATTCCAACAAAGCTTGAACCAGCACGGGTCTTCACTCAGGATAGAGAGGCACTAAGCAAGCATCAGTTTCTCACAACAACCGCAATTTTGAAACCAACAAGAATTAACCTATGTTATAAGAGTATGTTTGCCTGAAACCATCAAAATTAGTTGACAGTGATTCACCAATTTGGAATATTATGCATGTATAATGATATAAACAGTTCTGTTAGTTTGAGCAAATGCTGCTTTGCACAAACCTCAAAGATTTAAATGAAGTAGTTCCCAAACCAGCTGTTCTAATGCCCAGAAACAGGGTTACAAGCCCAAACATTTCAGAACTGTTAGTCTACCAAATATGCATGGACACTTCAACTTGTTATTGCAGGATGTGTCATCTTCCTCACTGAGGCTCATTTTGCGTCCGCTTTGAATTTGTATGCCCAGCCATATGCAGAACAGAACTATGTTCCATGCAAAAACCCCTCAGTGCTGCTGAGGTGCTTGTTCACCTTACGAAAAACATGTCAGAAAAATTTGCTGTGCTACCTCTTGCAGTCAGTGTCCTCTGGAAACAAAACAAGAATTAAATGAACAGAATCCCCAATAAAATACTCTGCACTTGTACATTTTCTATGAATTAAAGGATTCTTTGGAAATGTTGTCAAGACAGCTAGAAACATCTTCTTACCTGACTGCATAGTCAAGTCCATTTTTTGTGGCTGATACATCAATGGACTGTCTTCATTTAATGGAAGAACACATTTCTGAACAAACCTCTTTCTTGCAGTTTGATTATGAATCTTTTGAGGAGAAATATCAGGATTCCTTTCTTCTCCTAGCCTCTTATTTTTCAGGAGTTCTATCAGTGTAAGTGACTGATTTTTTTTTTCATCATGTAGTACTGCTTTTGTTTCATCACATTCATTTAGGAAACTCAGCCCTTCTTCCTCTGACGCAGACACAGATGTATCTTCAGTCTTTAGGCCATTATGGTATGCTTCAAGAGGTATAACATTCCGAGATAAAAAGTCATCATTTGATGCAAATTTCTGAGCAACAAACGGTCTGGGAATAATGCGTCGACTGTTCAAAGCCTTTAGGATTTTTTCATACTTCTCTTCATTCTGCATCATCTCATTCAGAACACAGATTGGAGACTTGTGTGCGTCCCACTTGGTTTTGCCAAGCCTCTTCAGGTGTCCTCGCACATGATTTGACAATCCAATTTTAGTATCAAACCAGCCTCCACAGAGCTGACATGTATGCTCAGAGGAAGTTTCAGATTTCTCAATCGCTAGAAAGAAAATAATTTTTATATTTTTTGACAATTATATGCATTTAAACATTACAATAGCAAATCACAAGGACAAGAGAGGCTTTACAACAAGATAAAGCAAGCCTTGTTTAGTGCTCAGTAAATCTGTTCGTCCCTTCTACTTTATACCCAAATTAAAAAAAACCAAAACAAAATAACCCCACAAAACAACTTACCTTTTCTAACACGTTTAACAGGAGTTCCCGTTCCAGTTCTTTTAAAATGTTGCATTTTGTCACTTGTTGCTATCTGTTCTGGTGAAACAACATGACGGGCTTCGTAGCTTAGTCCAGCTCTGTGAAGATGTCCTCTGACATGATTGGACAACCCAACACCTGTTTCAAAGGTTGCTGGACAGTATGGGCAGGACTTCTTTTCAAGCGACAAATCAGTCCAATGGAAAACTGAATTATGCTTTGGCAATGCTGATCCTACATTTTCTAAATTCTGAGGATCCTGCAAATCATGCAGGAAGTTACTACCCTCAGCATCTTCATAATACTCAAAATAAAAGCCATCATTCTGCTCATAACTAAGTGAAGATTTATCACCAGCTTCATGATCTTCCATTTTACCTTTGAATATGGGGAATAGGTTTACATGCTCCTGATTAATATCACTGTAAGATTCATCCTCCACAGACTGTGTAGTGTAATCACATAGTTCAACATTATCCCATGAACTTTCATCCTCCGTTTCATAGCTGTCTTTTTTTTCAGCAGAGTTAAGTTTCTGTAAAACAACAACAGTCATTTTATGCAGAAAATCTGGATAGCAATCCAAATCATCTCCTGTAACAGAGCCTTCCCTCTTGGATTCTTTAACCACTCTTTTTACAGCTACATGCCTACGATCTTTACAGCCTTCTGCCCTTTCGCAATCAAGATTATTTGAATCCATGACAAAACAATTATTACGGGGACTACTTGATGAAGAAAATAAATGTAAAGAACTGACAGAGTTGGACTCTTCCTTTTTTAAATGCAAAGGATAAGAGTCACTAGATTTTTTAATCATCCTGTAGTTTTCATATTTGCGCCTATATAAATAATTACCGCTTGTTTTGACACTAGCTTTCTGCTTTGCTGCTTGATGAAAACATTTAGGTTTCTGGTCAATGCTATTTCTAATCAAAAAGGTCTTGTTTGTAGAATTTAGATTGCACACACTTACAGATGACTGTGAAACGCTTTTCCGAGCCTTCTGTATCCTGTAGGGTCTCTTGTGAAGTTTTGCGAAGTTACTGGACTGTGAAGTAGAGCCAAATGATCTTTTTACATCCTGTTTTAAAGCAGAGTTCTTTGGAAAAGTAGAAGATTGTTTGATCAACTGTTTTGTCCTGCTACCAAAATCTAAAGATTCTTCTATTATGCTGCCTTTTCTTTTTTCTAGTCTAAGATGGCTACCAAAGGGATCAATGCATGATGCTGGGTGCAAATATTCCATGTGTTTTTTTAAAATGCTTCTAGCTGAAGTAGTAAATGGACACATCTTACACATATATGTCGATGACTTTTTTGAGGATCCTAAATACGGATCTTTCAAGGATGCCTTTTTCTGCGTTTTCCTCTGCGACATGTCGCTACCGATAATTGAACATTTGACTACTGCTCCATGAGCAATCCCTCGATGGCATTCCAGTTCATTTTCTGTCACAGCCATGAAATTGCATTCCTCACAGCAATAATATCTTTTATCTTTTTCATGGGTCTTTGCATGCTGCACAAACGTTTTGGGACAATTGGTACCAAATACACACTGAGGACACTGTAACCGTGCACTCCTACCCTCATCCTGAAGTTCTTTCAGCTCACGGATTTCTTCCATCAGTTTCTGCCTTCTTTCCTGGTGAATTATCATATGTTTTAGAAGTGAATTACGATCTCGAAATGTCCTTCCACATTCCCTACATGCATAGGGCCTGGGGACATTGAGATGTCGGAAATGACTGTTCCCATCTAAATGGTACATCATATGCCTATGCAGATGTTTCTTCTCCCTAAAATTCACATTGCACTTTGTACAGGGATAAAATGATGGTTCATCAGTACTGAAAGTAGATGGCGATTCAGAATCATTCTGTTCACATTTATTTTTTAAAGTATTGGAAAGAAAAGTGCTAGTGTGAACAGGAGAAGTATCTTCTGCACAGTTACTAGTGGGACTATAAATGAGCTGCTGGATAGCATCAACAGCTTCCAGCTCTTCATCTGTGGACTCAGGCTTTACTTTACTCAATGAATATTTTTGTGGTTCTACTATTTGTAGCTCCTCATTCTGCTCTAAGAAGTCAACATTTAATAGTTTTGATTTACTAGGAATACAACTGGTATCACCAAAACAGTCTTCAGTATAGCGTGTTATTTTACTAACATCCATTTTCCTTTTTCGCTTTTTTTCTAAGCCTACTTTACAGTGAATGGGAGACTTCTCTATTGTTTCTTCATTTGTCATAAGAAACTGTATAAACTCCTTTTGTGGATCCCAGCTGGGATCACATCCCGATCTAAAACCACCTGTACCTGAGGAAATGCCTGTTAATGTATCGACACAATCATCTTTTACTAGCAAATTTTTATCATCCTCACAAACTTCTACTTGGCCTACTAAAGTGCTATCTACACTGTTTCCTACTGATTTCTGTGAATCACAACCAATTGAAGCAGAGGTAGGTAGATTTTTAATGGAATGAGTCAGGTTCTTAGCATGTGCTACATCAGGTAACAAAAATAAAACTTGGTGCTGACTTGATTTCTGTGTTGTACTCTTTGCAGGCAGCTGAAGATCATGAACCACTGTCAAAGTTGAGCAGGAATCTGTGTGATGACCTACAGGCTGTCCAGTGGTTAATGAAACACTGCCTTTATTCATAATGGAAGTCTTAGTTGAGGTGGAGTGTGAAACTGGTCCATTAACAGCAGTTCCTCTAGACAAGATAAAGTTTTCGCTAGAAACAGTAGGAGCACCAGTGTGTATAAATAGAGAAGTCTGGCCTCCACTTAAGGCTTTTTCAGATCTGTCCCTCGATAGCTCCTCAGGCAGAGTCAATGTATTGTTCTTCTGAAATGATGTGTCGCTCTCTTGTGGTTTAGGAATGCCACGTTCTTCCTCAGATATGAAATTATCATCACACAGGATTTCTTCTTCTTTAGCACCAGTGACTTCAGTATTTATCTCTAAATCATCCATATTGCTGGTCTAGCCATTAAGTACATTTATACTAAAAAACAAACAAACAAACAAACAAGAAAAGAATCAGGCAATCACAGAAATAAATAATGGTAATCTTAAATTTACAGTTTTTTTTCAGGGTCCCCCTTCTTCACACTGTAATCTAAAAATATGTTTTGAACTTGTTAAAAATGTATTTTTTTATTTAGGATATTCAAGACATGTTTAAAATTAATCAATGAAGCATTTAAAAAAAATTATACTTCTTTGCTATGCTGTATTAATAACCATACAGAAAACCAGTCACTGCCCAGTATCCCAGTTCAAAAAAGCCTGAACACATACACGCAAGCAAGATGGGGGAAATGAGATTGTCAAAAACTGTGCAAATAAATACATTCTATGTATACATTAATATAAACACAGAGTTTATCTTAAGTTGTTTCCTAGAAGTAAAACAAGTTAGGAGTAAAGGCTACTCAGACATCTGCTAGTCATTTCAGTGATTTTTTTTTTTTTTTAAACCATACTTCCCTTTAGCACCTAGGAAACTAAAAGAATCTTTGTGTATTTTGAAGTATGACTTTTTTCAAAGCGCTTGAGTACAACTGACCTGATGCTACACAGAAGCCTGAAGAAGCGTTTACTTTGGTATTAAAGGAGAAAACACAACTAAGTTGATTTTGAACACCTGATTACTGATAGAGACATAGCAAAGGATCAACTCACTGAAGAAATTAAATGTCTTCCCATTCCGTTCTTATAAAAGGACTCTCCTTACTTTAAAATAAATAAATAAATCAGGTCCTGCTTATGTTATAAGACCATTTTAAATGATAAACAAATAAAATAGCATCTTCTCGAAAAAACCCCAAATTAGAAAGAAACATTTAATTAGGATTTACCTACCAGACAAAATCACTATGTTGAATCCAGAGCATGACAACAGTAGCGTCTATTAGTACAGAGAACTACTACATATTAATTCCCTCTGAGAGGCCTTATGTATATAAATATGCCTTTCTACAAGTGACTTTCATTCATACACAAAACCATGTACCCAATGCTTAGTGTGTGCAAAGGAGTTGCCTACATATGGAAATCAGTGTGTAATCAACAGGAGTGTGAACTTAAGTCTACCCTGGCATTTACCTCTTGTATGGGTCCTCAGAACACAGTAACCATAAGGCATTAAAACACGCATCTAGGAGCCAGAAACATCTACCTATATTTTACAGAAATCACATATTTTACCCTTAAAGAGTACTATTCGCTTTGATCTTTTGGGGAATTTGATTCCTGCCATCACATACTTAGTTTCAGTTACTAATTAACATTTTGAATAGAGCTCAGTTAAAAGGAGTCATTACCTAGACTCTTTGAATTAAGCTGTTATAACTCACAAGTAATATCCATGGCTCCGTGCAATGGTCCTTCATCGAAATCAAGGAAGACCACGCTTGACATCCTTTTTTCCTAAGGAGAGAAAACAACCTGGTTAAACACCACCACTTTCATCTTTATACATCACACTCTAAAATGAGTCCAGCATTTCTATTAGTTTTTCAATTTAACATTATGATAGGTATCCACACAAGTCAAACCTAGCTACGGCCTCGTGGAAATTCTCTGTTATTGTGCTTGTTTTGTTTCAAATGGGCAAAAGGACTAAACAAATACTTTAACCTCCTTTAAGTTTGTAAAAAACAAAGCTTAGTGTAATACAACTTGTTTAGTATTTTGAAGATAAAAATAACTATATTTGGAGTAGAAATAAAATGAAAAAATTCTGCCACTAAATAAATGTTTCCTTTGCTACTCAATCATTGAACTAGCCAATTTAAAAATACAGCAACTCTCATGTCAGATGCATAATAAACGCTTAAAGTGTATGAACTATTTTATTGTATTATTTATCTGTAATATATCTTTATGCAAATGTTCTACTAGACACCCTAGTTTCTCATCTTCCCACTTCTTAAGATTTTTGCATTTCTTTGCTGTTTTGAGATGGGTCATTTTCCACCATAATAAAGACTTCCAATAAGATCACATTCAAAGCTATCACCCTAAAATGGTGATAATGCACCACCCAGCAGGAGTCTTTACATCACGTACACAAGTTAGAAACGGGCACTGCAAACATGCACTAAGAATCAGTAATGCAAAAAGTCAATTAAAAGAAGTGAAACCTCCAAGGATGCACAACGGCTCCAACAGTTTTGCAACTGAATAGTGTAAGCTTCATACAGTATCAGGCAGCAGAGTATAAAAATGTTCACAAAAAGTTTAGAAGAAATTTAGTAAGTCAGTTTTGCCTGAAAGATGTGCGTTTTCCTCATTTTATTACTGCAGAGGTAGACAAATGTACGCTCAGTCAATTTGAGAGCCTGTATTAGCTTTTCTCAACAGGAAGCAACGTTGCTAACGAAGTGGTAAATTCAGTGTTAATGAGTGGCTTCACTGTTACCACCTCTGAGGTAAAACCTTCCATGTTCCAAGTTCCACCCATCTGTTCTGGTGTGAGGGGTTCAGAGGAAGAACAGACGCTTCCCACTTCAAGCAACTTCATCGGTACCCCCCGAACAGCGGGGAGGCAAACTGAGAATATCGTGCCTGCTTGGAGATCGCAATCCTCATTATCAGAATGGCTCCTGAAAACTTTTCACAGGTTTACGTGATGAAGCCAAAACCATGTTGCTCTACATACAAAACCATACTGACACTAAATACTAGTGTTAAAGCTTAAGTTAAAAAAGGTGGCTCAGGCACCTTTAAACTGCGGCTCTTCAGAATTATCATGAGCAATATCTAAAACATGACACTGAGCAATCTTGTAAGAGACTCCTTTCCATATTGTGTATTTATGGTGATTGTGAACTATTCCATATGGATCTGATTAGAAGTCTTCTATGGTAATACAGTTGTCCCTACAGATTTCAGTCTTTGTATCAAGCCTGAAATGCTTACTGTATCAATAGTATCGCTGTTACATTTTAATAATTTTCTGCTAATTACCACATTTTTTCCAGCTATCAGGGTGGTACAATTCACTATTTTACGTGCAGGAAAACAACAAGAAAGTTAGCAGTTTTAACAGCATGGTATTAAAGAAAATATATAAAATATCTTTTTAAATTACAGTAATTTAGAGTCTTGTGATGACACTGAGCCAAGATGCAATACTTCATTTCCATTATTTACTCCATGTGTAGAAATTTATGCAGTAACAATGATAGGTGTAACTAGACACGTGCAAAAAAACATTCCACATAATGCCATCGTTTTTGAGGAAATGTTATCATCTAACTCGTACCATTCAGGAAACACAACACCCAAACTGAAACACTACCTAATCTGAACACTCGGGGGGAAAAAAGAAAAATCAATCAATCAATTGCAACAACTAAGATGTAACCAAAGGTATGCAATATTCTTTGTGTATTTCCATCAAGTTTTAAAATTATCTTCTCTATACCATATCAGAAATACACAAATTATGAATTCTGTCAAAATACATACTAATTAATCCTTAGTTAGTGTATCTGAAAAATTAAACATTGAGATAAAACTTTAAATTTCCTGCAAATAGTGCTTGTTATAGCCTCTACCACGGCAAGTACTATACAGTTGAGGTAATTTTTATTTAAACACATTGTGCAATATACCTAGGAGATACAGAAGTGTAAAAATGGCAATGCTCAAAAAGCCTACACAAACGGACACAACCCCAAGCTCATACCTTTGAAACATACTTTAGATAAAAGGCTAGGTCAAATTCAATTCAATTATTACAGGTAAGCCTAGAATGACTGTAATGCAGTTAACAGTGTTATTCCTGGTTTACATGATACACTATTATATAGAAACTATTTCATATTCAAAAGTAGAAAACAATCAATTATTTAGCCAACTAAGCTACATTCCACCCCATTTAATTAACTACTTTAAAATTTACATAATATTTAATATTGTTTTTTCTTCATAAAATATCAGTTTTAAAAATCATAATGAGTTCTGCAGATATGACTGCCTGTGGCCAGATAGTCTAAGCATTAAAAAAGTGTAAGGTCAGATTTATCTTCAAGCTGACAAATCGTAATTTAAATGCCTTAAGCTAATCTTATTGTCTCAAAAATCTTGAACATCAGTATTTTTGCAAACTATCAGCACTTGCTATAACACCCTTACTACACTACATCTTGAGGTTACTACAGAAAAAATGAGGTGATAATTGCATATTAACATAATTATTCAGTAATCCCTCTGAGCAAGCTTCCTAGGTCACTCAGTAATTCAGATTAGATGCAACCTTCCCGTCATCAGATCTATGCTGTCCACTTTCTGTTCATTACCAATTCTTTTTAATAGGAATGTACTTAATTCCATTGTTCTATGTACATTATTAATTGTATTTATTATCAGTAGCTTTACGACATTTCCAAGTTCTTATTTCATAATGACAACCTTCACTATGTAATAGGGTCACACACCAAATTAAGAGTATTGCCTTCATGCAATGCTCATTCATTAAAGCCTATGCTCCAGTGCTATATGTACTACACTGTTGCCTATTAGCAGTTGGAGTTAGAGATTTGACAGTTTCTGTTAGAAAACTCACATTATTTTACAAGGATTTACAATAGGTTTGAAAACACATGGAGCTGAAAAATTAAGATGCAAGAATTTGGTCAAGTTTGTGAAAAGCAAGAAGTGCTTTTATGTGTTTTGATATCAAGTTTCTCATTAAATTCATAAATATAAGCCAATGTGCTAAAAGCACAGAGTGACTATTAAGTGGCACAAAAACTTAGAAGCCATCTCCTAAATGGATGGAATTTAATCAGCCTAGTTATAAAGTAACTGAAGAAACATAGTGTCTTTCAGCAGTGCCGTAACGAAGGCAAAAATATACTTGTCCTGTGCTAAGTAACTCGTCATAAGTCAAGTTCTTTAAGCAGATATGTGAATAACCAGGACACTCAAGGGATTATTCAAGTATTCAAGAGATAGGAAAGGTGTTTCAGGTGTGCACTGTTCCCATTTAGATTTTTCTTCAAGACTTTGTTATGTAAATAGAGAAAACTAACAAACCCCATCATTTTATCCACAAGCATTCCTGTAATAAAGCTTTCTCAAATGACAGATTATATTAAAGATGATGGAACCAGTGTCACAGATTTTTAGGCAACAAGCAGCAGACCAGAGAGAGCTTAAGTACACCATGGCACAGGACTAGAGAGGCATCTCCCTCCATTTTGCCCCATTAAACAGTCTATTCCTTTAACAACTTAATCACGCCTAGCATGGAGCTTCTATCAAAAGTGAAATGTTTAAGAACCTTTGGAAAATGAAGGTTTGTACAGAGTAATAGAGGAACTAATAGTGTATAAGCATAAACCAGCGACATCTTGAGGAAAAAAAGTCAAGTTATTTAGAGGATAGTTGTGCAGTATTTTTGCCTCCTTCACACAGTAATGCACACAGTTCACACCTCCTGAGTTTTGAGTGTTATCTAGCAATACGAATACCCAAAGTCAATAAAATCACAATACTTTGATCATTAGAAGAATACCTATTACTTGTTTTCCACTTTATATCTTCTTAAAAAGCTATCCAGATCCAGATGGAAACAGAACCACAAAGCCTGACAACCAGAGGATGAGTCCGTGACTCACCGTACCTTCCTCAAGCTTCTATTTGTGTTTGCAAATTAAGTTGTTGAAAATACATTCCCTTCTGCACAGCAGAGACACTGACTATTTGTAGACTGCCTTACTTAGCTTTGAATCCTACAAATCACCTGAACACTTCTGGATTTTTTTTTTTTAAACTTCGCTAGTGAAGAGACAGTTTGTTTAATACGCACAGCACCACGAATATTGCCCTCCCACATCTACTTTACATACAAGTATATGGTTATTAATATAACTACGGTCTAAGGAGTTCCACTGAAAACTAGTTATCTTCAATTCCGATCCATAGCTGTTCATATGAAAACACAAACATAGAAAACTCTCATAGCTAATCAGACTCCCATATTAAAAACTATTTTTAAAGCGGCAAGAAAAATTACTGATACAACACTAAGAAGTTGTATTATGACTAAATAAAGAAATGGAAAGTTATTGCCACCCACAGTATAACCTTTTGTTATACTGTTGAAAGATTCACTGAGTTGTCGTATCTCTGTGGAAAAAGTTGACGAAAGAGAAACTCGGAGTCATCACACGAAAGCAACCTGCCTTTTCAGTAATATTATACTCACGAACATCAAACCTGAAGCACACTTTTTCAAAAAGTTTATCACCTGAAACTTTGTTTCTAATGAAGCAATTTCTTCAAAAGCTGTGTGTCAGGTAGTAAGGAAAAAAGATGTTTCCTTAAAAATGTCAAAATTTCGGAAATTTGATTTCTGGTCTAAAATGTTTGAGTGACATTTTAACATCTCACATGTGAAAGGAAACAATACACAA